ACAAAACTTCTATAACTGTTTAATAAGGATTAATAGTAGTGGAGAAATTCCGGGAAAATTTCGAAATAATTTTGAAAAAGAAATTTGTTAATCCTTTGGGAATAAAACTGTTTAGCACACTGATTGGAATTTTTCGTTGAAATTAGCATAAAAGCCCAACTTATTTCATATGAAACAAAGTCTGATTTCAAGTACTCGGCAAGAGACAGAAAGAATTTTATCATGAAACTGTAAGTTAGGTTAGGATAAGTTGGGTGTGGCTAACTTAGCTTACGCTATATCTACTTTATTTTTTTACAAATATTAACACAGCTCACATTCGGAACTTGTAGATGGCAGTCTTTAGAAGTGTTTATCATCGGCATGTAGATCTCACATTTATGTACTCTTCTCTTGTATACTCTGAAAGTGCTACTATGCAAAACATATATATATATATATATATATATATATATATATATATATATATATATATATATATATATATATATATATTATATATATATATATATATATATATAATGTCCATTCCAAGGTTAAAGAAATAGTTTCTTTCATATATTCAAAATGTGTATAAAACCATCACAATTGCATATAAAACCAGGCAGAGAGCTTTATAAGATCGACTTCTTTAAAAATTATTTTATAAAAGTCCGAAATATGCTTTTTGGCAAATAGTCGAAAGTGGCACTCGCTCTTTCTGGCCCTCTTTTTTTCTACCCCCAACGCCAACCCCTCTTTTTGGCTCTATTTGCACCCTTTAACTGACGCACGTCTAATGTGTATTTCTTGCTAGTGACCCCCCTTGAAGCCGGCACTTCGTCGCTAAAATATTTATAGCTTGTCTCTTACTAAGCATTTTTCGTCTGAAGAACAAGTCTGGATCTATTCCAATGAAAAACTTGGTATTTTTGGAATTAAAAGCTATATATTTATGGAGGAAAAGAAAATCTTTGCTACAAGAGAGTTCCAGCATATGTAATTTCAACAATAAAAGATGAAGTTTTAATTTTTTTTTTTAAGCTTCGTAATGTCCTTTATAAATACGATATTATTTGCTAAACGAAATTATTTGTGCATTGTAGAAAAGCCTCCTGTCTTGGGACTCCTTGGCTGCAGCACCCATACTGAACCGGCACTCGTGTGGGGTCCACAGGATTAACGAAAATGGCCTCTAACAGCCTCTGCTTAAAGGAGAAGGCACTAGGTGCTAAGGCACATGGTAGGGCTGTAGAGGACGAAGGAAAGGTGAAAAAGAACCTTTAAGTTTGGCACTTTCTTTATGTACATTTACCTTCTAAACTCAACGGAATATGTGAGAAAGGGGTCATGTTTTCTTCAATCAGGGAATACATTTGAAAATGAGAGAGAGAGAGAGAGAGAGAGAGAGAGAGAGAGAGAGAGAGAGAGAGAGAGAGAGAGAGAGAGAGAGAGAGAGAGAGAGAGAGAGGAGAGAGAGAGAGAGAGAGAGAGAGAGAGAGAGAGAGAGAGAGAGAGAGAATGGGGAGTTGAAGGCAGATGAGAAAGGTAAGATGGTAAAATAGCCATATTAAAGGTGTGGTAGGGGGTAAGATGTTGTTAAGCCAAAAACGAACGACCAATGGCTTGTATTATGAGTGAAAACACCCCCCTAAACCCCCTTATTGACGTCTGCTGGGGCATGAGAGGATATCTGCGTCGTTGTTTGTTGCAAACTATTACGTTGTTTTCGTTGCGAATCCACTACCCTGGTCCAATGGCTAGATAATATTTAATATTTAAAGACGAAGTCGCCAGGATTTTTTTTTTTTATGTATTGTGTTATTATTAGTCCCCATTTAGGGCTGGACACATATGAAATAAAGCTGGGGAATTTAATTTGGATGCCATACCTATCGCCCCGCCGTGAACTCGAACATGGATCCATCGCTTTCCGAGTTAAGCACGCTGCCGGTTACGATACGGCGGACCCTAAGTGTTTCCCGATTATCTAGAACAAAGAAAATTCTCTTATATCAGTCTTGTTTCATTTGCTTTTTGGAGCTTGATAAATTTACCACAATCTACTATACTGCTTATCTGCTCTTTTTTATTAACTCAAAATTATGAAGTAAATTCTACATAATTTTGATTGGCTTTCAAGACAAAAGTTGGACCCATGTCTCTTGAAATCAATTGCAAACAAATCTTCATGATAAAATATAATTTGTTCTACTTTCCAAAGTTTATGTAAATGTAGCTACAAGATGAGAGGGAAAGGCATTGAAGTTTTTTACACTTACAAAAACTCGCATAATCATTTCATTTTCATTTACTGTAGAATTATCTAGGTAGTTGTAAAAGTTTTGGATTGGTTTAGAAGAGAATATTCAACAAAAATTGAATATGGCTTCTCTCAATATTTGTAGATATAATCTTAAGAAAGTTATGCACCCTGAAGGCAGATGAAAATGTGCTTTTCTCATCTTGGCAGAGGACAAAATCCCCTGGGGTTTTCCGACGACTCTTATAGAGAATGAAAAGTTGAAGCCAAAACGATGTCTCCTCCGCCCGACATTTTTTTTATGGACCTGGTAATGACTGTCACATGTAGTAGGTTGGCCCATGGTATCAGCCTCCAGTTGCGATACTATAACTGAAGGTCTTGTAGACTAAAATAGGCCTGTACTGGACAGCTCGATGTTGAGTCTTCCTTCAGCTACGGATCCTTTTCTATGCCTACATCTACACAAAATATTCTTGCATATTCGTTACACATCTCTTATTATCCCTTCACATCTGACAAGTCACAACACACCCCATCTCTGTTTCTCTTTGCTTTATGTTTCTTCGTGTCCAGGGTGGATGAGGTCAACTTTCTTCGTCTGTCTTGGTGTCACACTCATAATATAAAAATAAGTCAGGGTAATTTTCTAATTATTCAGGCTTCGCTCAACCTGGTAGCTGGAACAGAATATTTTTTTTATTTTCTAATCATTAGACACGGTCTTACAGACACACAGAACGCTTTTCTTTCTATAATCTAATTCTTGGAATTCATTTGAAATCTAGAAGGAATGTTATCTAGTATTTCTAAATAATGATCATATGTCAACTTCATTAACTATTTTTCTCTTCTGGTAGAGAAACTTGTAAGAAATGCAATTTTTTTTAATTCTGGGGAAGAAATAAAGGCACTCTGCATAAATAAAGATGGTACTTAATTCAAAGTTTCGGCAAAATTAGGTTTACGGCTAGATGCCACTTTTACTGCTAATCTTCACCATACCTGGGTTTAGAACCGACACCGAGTTGTGCTGGCTTGCACCCCTAATGGATAGAAGAAGAGAATGGAAAAGGCCTAAAATATGATGGAAGAATGATATAGCGAATGATATGCGGGATAAGAGGCCAAGGAAAAAGGATACACGAGAAAGGAAAAGTTGGAAAAGACTGGCAAGAAACAGCGACCCCAAAGAGAGATGGGTATAAGCTGAAGACAAAGAAGAAAAAAAAAGTACTTGCTTCTACAGTTAAAACTGTGTGTCATCATTACATAGTTAGAAAAGGTACCTATGTAATGTGTCCGAAACATGTATCTTGCTTTTACTGTTTCTGAATGACAAACTTAATAATAAATTAAAAAAAGTTTTTTATGTTGCATAATAAAGAGGTCTTTCATTGAAATTCTTGATTAGATGGAGAGGCACTCATGCAACTTGACCGACACCTTGAATTGAATTTCGAATGAGTAAAATCACTGACGGAAATCGCTCATGCATTATATGCCTTTGTACCTGATCTTCATATAACTGGAGTTGGCAATAGCTAATACAATAATTAATCAGGGAATAAAAAGCAGATTATTTAAAGTAATTTTCCCATCACTTGCTCTAACATAACAGATCAATTTCGATCTTTCGTGTGTCAGTGCTCCTTTTAAAGCAGATTTCCCTTTCACTGACTCAAACTTAACAGATTAATTTCAATCTTTCGTGCTTTAATGTTCTTTTTAAAAGCAGATTCCCTCTCACTTACTCTAACTTAACAGATCAGTTTCGATCTTTCGTGTGTCAGTGTTCTTTTTAAAGCAGATTCCCTTTTACTTGCTCAAACTTGAATGATAAAGTCCGATCTTTCGTGTGTCTGTGCTCTTTTTAAAGCAGATTTACCTTCACTTACTCTAACTTAACTGATCAATTTCGATCTTTCGCGTGTCAGTGCTCTTTTTAATGTTGATTCCCCTTCACTTGCTCTAAGTTAACTGATCAATTTCGATCTTTCGTGTGTCAGTGCTCTCTTTAAAGCAGATTTCTCTTCATTTACTCTAACTTAACTGATCAATTTCGATCTTTCGTGTGTCAGTGCTCTTTGTAAATTAAATTCACCTTCAGTTGCTTAGGCTTGAATGATAAATTCCGATCTTTCGTGTGTCAGCGTTCTTTTCAAAGCAGATTTCCCTTCACTTACTCTAACTTAAAAGATCAGTTTCGATCTTTCGTGTGTCAGTGCTCTTTGTAAATTAAATTCACCTTCAGTTGCTTAGGCTTGAATGATAAATTCCGATCTTTCGTGTGTCAGTGTTCTCTTTAAAGCAGATTCCCTTTCACCTGCTCTAACTTAACTGATCAGTTTCGATCTTTCGTGTCTCAGTGTTTTTTTTAAAGGAGATTCCCCTTCACTTGCTCAAACCTGAATGATAAATTCAGACCTTTCGTGTGTCAATGCTATTTTTAAAGCAGATTTCCCTTCACTTGCTCTAACTTAACTGATCAATTTCGATCTTTCATGTGCCAGTGTTCTATTAAAGCAGATTCCCCTCCACTTGCACTAACTTAACTGATCAATTTCGATCTTTCGTGAGTTAGGGTTCTTATACTAAACACCCCCACATCTTGTCGTCCATTCTCGGTGATCTAACTTTGATCTTTTCCTGTTCAAGAAGTGCATTATATTTTAAGCACTTTCCATCCTACCTTTCCTTATTGTCCTCTCACTTTGCACTCTCTAGACCTCACAATCGCTCTCTCTTGTTGAGTTTA